TGACGTCACGACAGAATTTAACCTTATTTCTATATTCTGCACACTGAAACGAGCTGGAAAATCCATTCTTGAATAAATCATGGGAAGCTGGAGGTGAATAAAGCAACTGTTTCTGCACATATACGTAAAAACATGGAAGGCTGGGATCAAGGACGATTTAAGATAATGGTGGGTTCTGGGTAAATGTAAGAACTTGCCCCCTTTTTAATCTAAAAACCAAACACCTAAAAATTTGATAGTGGTATAAAATGTATTTAAATTTTATATAAACAAAAGCGAAAATGACAGGAAAAGTTTAAAAGCACATAATATAAAAACAATTAAAATTTGTGCTCTTTGGTGTATACTAAAATTTCGTATGTGTTCATGTATGTTTTCTTGCCCATGAAACATTGAGATCAACTTTTTGTTCAGACCGCTTTGTTTAGGTAAAAATTATTAATTGGATTGGCGTAGAATGGTCCATATATTGTTCTGGAAATTTTCAAGCCATTTCCGGAATTCAAATCCGGGTTTGTTACACTTGGCCAGTCAAATTACTGGCAAGCTTCTACCTCAAAATATATTATTTTTCTACTTTCACCCTAAATATATTTATAACCAAAATTGTTTATATTTTTATCTACCTACCAAGGGGAAATCAATCCTCGTAACATAAAAGATACAAGGAAGAGGAAGTTCTTGAAATCGTTTATTTATTTATTTTAGAATTTAATTAAGTTAAATTACTTGTAAATAAAGATGTCAGTTTATTGAAAACAAAGCAACAGATGCCTACTTCAGTTTCCTGCAGGCCAGAAGTTTATTAGGTGGACTCAAGCAACTAAGAAACCCGAAGAACGTTATATATTTGTCAGCTGCCCGTTTTATAATTCAAAGTTCTAGGTCTAATATTTCATAATTATATTTTATTTATTATAACATATTTTAGAGCCTACAGTAAAAGGTCAAGTTTATTTATTTTAATATTTTAAAACATAAAACTGTGGGACCCAGTTTAAAATTAAAGTGGAAAGGTAATGTTTTAATGCATACAAATGCACAAAAAAGAGACCGATTTGAGGTACATTTAATTGAAAAAAACATTTCAATCTACAAATCCCAACTTTGTTTAAATTCTGAATCGAATAAACGTGACTTTACAACTATCGATACATGTGAGCAATGTGTACCTGGCTTCTCATAGGATCCGTGTTGATCTGACACATATACGTTCCAGAGTCATTCATTTGGACATTGGAGACATGCAGTTTCCAAGTGTTGTGCCCATTATGAGTCACAGAGAGCCGTGAGTTATGGGCCACCATGTGTGTGTGTATAGCTAGTATGGCCTTCGAGTCCGATTTGATCCACGCCACCTGCAACATACAATATGTCCATACTTTCAATGAGAGACAACGTCAGACGACAGAGATTGTGTTTCACTGTCACGAAGACAAACAACACTCATTACGTATGTCTCTCCCGAATCTTGAAACGAAGAGATGCCTCAAAAACCTGATCATTTCTTATTTTTCTTTATATACTGATCTATATTTTTAGTTGAGTTTCCTGAACAAGGTTGTGAGTTGTCAACTCTTCTTACATCCAGTGTTTGCCCGAAGTCTTCCTTGAAGGGCCGGAAATGGTATGGAGGAACTTCCTTTCCATAGGGGAGTAAACTCAGTTACCTAGTAACTGAATCATAACCGCTAGAGGAGTGCAGCGTTTCTAGGTACGAGGATGGAAGTGCCTCTAATAAACTCGATAAAAGCGAGATGGTACACTAGCTTTATTGAGGTTTCCGCGGTGACAATCTGCTAGAAGAATGAAAACTAAATTTGATACTGAGTTACGAGAAGTGCTGTAGGCAGGGTGTGCGCAATCATCAATTCAGTTTCAACTTCTTCATTTCCTTCTTAAGACGTGAAAACACACGAGTTCTAGTACACACAAAAAATAATTGTAACAGACTTCCTACAAGCATCAATAGAAACACTGCTTCTAATTTGAAACGAACGTATCCACACATTTTTATGAGTATTTTAGAATATTATTCTATTTAACAACAATATATCAACTACAGATAATAATATAGAGTCGAATTAGTCCGGAAGATGATCATGAACGATGTATAGACAAGAATAAATATGAATTTAGAAGTAAGAAATCGTGACGTACTTCAAGATAATTTATAAAAAAAACTTTCTTGTATCATTTATTGAAAATGTACGTGAAGTGTCACTTGGTCATTAGGGTTTAATTCTCTAAAGCTATTCTGAAATACACGCTCATATTTATCTGAGTCTGCTAATATCTCTTTGCGATCCAGGATTTGATTTAAGCCACCAATTTCAATAAATTATTTGATTACAATTATATGGGGGACATTGGAAATGCGTTCGAATTTTTGCTTAAAATGTCTGAAGAAACAGACTGTCAGAGAGACCTAGGCATACATGGCAAGATAATATTAAAGTATATCGTAGGGACAGGAATTCTTGGTGGTCCTCTGTGAACATAGCAATAACCCTTTGGTTACCATAAATTTGGAGGAATATCTTGACTAGTTAAGCGTACTGTTAGCTCTTAACGGAGGACTCTTGTTCACGGAGTTTGTTAATTAAATTTTCCTTATAGAAATTGATTGTAACATAATAGGTCTAATATTTTCTTTTCAATACATAGCTAAAATGTTGTTAATCAAAATAACGAAGCTACTACACAAAGAAATTTCACAGACTGAACACAACACTGTGTATGCAAGTTAAACACTCGTACATTTTTTTAAATATACTTCTTAAGTAAAAGTGATCAACTGGAAATTTGTAAAAAGAGTCAGTGACTGTGTATAATTCCAGCCTTACAGTTAAAATTAATAACCGGCGATACATAATTCCCGCATGATTACTTCGGTTATTATTTAAAATAACCAGACTGTTAATTTCTTCTGTAGCACAGTGACATACGCTAAAAACTTTAATTTACTAAATAATATAATGCAGAAGTTTTAGCACAGTATAACAGTAAAGTTATTTGAAGCTTAATCTATGAGAGAAGACAGACTTTTAGGATAATAAGTCTCATCTAATATAAAAGATTTTTTATTAAGAATGGATTTGAAATCACGCTACTGAATCTTAATTTTTTTGCAATATTTGTCTTTCTAACGTAAAAATATCTCGCCATTTTTTAAATCTTCAGTTACAGAATACGTATGTCCCGTGTAAAACACATTAAGGATGATACTGAATCAAAAGTTTCAAAATCACATTGTGGCAGATATTGAATCAACAATTAATTAATGTGACCATTCCGTTAGATAAACGAGTGACCTAAAAGAATTTTCGCATTTGAGTGCCACTTGTCTTGTAAGCGTCGCAGAGATAATTTTAACAACTCCGTATGTTGTAATATGTGATTTCTCATTTTGCTTTCAACTTTTCTCGGATCATATATACAGTAACACTGAAGTAAGAGATCAAATTAATTTCAGACATTTTAGATTACTTCCCTTCAAGAGAAATGACTTACACTTGATAAATGGTCAAACAGAACAATTCCAGACGGTAAAATAACCAACTCCATCTTATTCCAAGGCTTGTGGATTTAACTCGTAAAGAAAAGAAGGGATGGAAAAGATGAAAATCTTGAAAACAGAAACACCATTTGTCTTGGCAGCGTTACAAGGCCAAGAACTTCATTTTCCAAGCCATTTAACAACACTACAGAGTGACTAAATGCTTTAATTTCTTAATTCATTTGAAGTAAATCTCAAGAGAACATGGCGGACAGAAACGGGTCTTTCGCCTAGCGAATGCAACATTCCTGTGATCCTGTTTAATTGTCCTAGATTGAGGTTAGGAGGGCTTTGTTTCCTCTATTCGATTGTGGTTTCTGTGTGTGTGTGCGCGCGTGGGACTTAATAAACTTCTTGCAAGCCAACTCACTTTTGCAACTGTGCCATTCAATTAAGTTGAACGTTCCACTGTGTACAGCTTTGCTTCACATCAACACCAAAACACCTGAAAACAATTTGCCCCTCAACATCTTTGGGGGCTATGAGTAACCAAATAAGGGAAGCCCCTTGTACTCTGAGCGTGTACTCTTAATAGGAAGCATACGGAGTCTTAACCAACGTCAGTAATTGGTAAACGGAGTTACACGTGAGTAATCTAAATTTAGGCTAGTAAGAAAAGTTACAGCGAAGTAGACATGAGCCTGATATAGAAGTAAACAGAGATTAATTAAAGCAGATTTGTTACAGTTTGGTATGCATTCTGTAAAGTGGTCTAACGAATCGATGTAGTTCGTTAGTAGGCACTACACAAGTACCAATACAGTTAAACTAAATATCTAACTGTCCAATATTCTAGCAGTTCCTCCATAAGTCTATCTGTGGTAGCAGATGCTTAAGTTCTACAAAGCCATCCCTAAAGCCCACAATCGGATATAATTACAAGCCAGTAAAATCCAGTTTACAACTGTAGAATATATTTTATTATTCACATACATTTCTTAATATTCTCTTTTACAAGTTTTAACGCAGGACATATTCTGTATGCGTGTTCTAGATATTCGTCATTATGGATCTTTTATTTTAAAGTTTTACACAGAAATATTCAAAACAAACTCTACAGAGGGAAGCAAAAATAAATTAATTTCATGTTATTTTCTCGCTGTGCTTGGGTTATACCTAAAATTTTGTTGAGAAATTGTAATACTTCTGGGATACAACATGGAGTATGTTACCTAGCAAGGGAGTAATGAGTGCATAATATTAAATACAACAGAAAAATACATATTTCTGGAATGTCAGGACGTAACATTTGACGCGTAAAGTAGAGATAAGAAATGCATAAAGAATTTTGGTATGAAAAACTGAAAAGAAGGGATTACTAAGCAGACCTAAGCGTAGATGCGAGAATAATATTAAAACAAATTTAAATAAATAAAATGTGAGATTATGGACTATTTAATATCATAGTCACCGGTCATGTAATATATCTAAAACGAAATTGAAACAATTTCTTGAATATTTGATCAGATTATGTTTGTACAGCTAAATCCAGTGTACGATGGATCTAAAACCTTGCGATGAAATGACTGGCGTTCATTCACCGATAAAGGGCATTACTTCTCATATATTTTCACTACTCAGCACGTTAGGAAACTAGAACACTTCAGATGATGGGAAAGAAGTAGAAGAATTCTTCTTGTCGGCCAGAGACTATCTTAAGGTTATTGCTACTGGCTTGGTGAAGAGGGATGAAGGAAATGTAAGTTGAGGGAACCGCATTTGAATTTTTATTCAAGCATTGCTTTCAGCCATTTGAAAGGATCACTAAGTAGAAGAGATATCCCGGGTTATTCTATAAACAGATTGGAGTTTAGGTGATATTTCTTTCATGAAACCCTCACTTTCCTACATTCTCAGACTAAACTGGAGAGACATTATCGATAAAAATAAAATGGATGATAATAATATAGAACTTCAAAGGGATTTATAATATTTCAATACAAATAGTTAAAAAAATATTAATGAACTTTACCCGAAATTTGGTCGGATTACATTACACCAGTTAATTAACACATGTTGCTGAAGGTCACGTACCTTGTAGGATCCCAGGTGATTTACAATGCACGTGAAGAAAACGTCTCGACCCTGAGTCACGGTGTGGTTCTCCAGTGGCTGAAGAAACTCTGGTTCCTGCTCTGTCACCGACATCTGACCTGCAACAACAATGCAAACCACGAATTGTTGCTTGTTTGCTTCTTCGGATATGTAAGTATATTAATGAAACCAGAAGGTCGTAATGTTAATGCTGATCTAAACAGAGATACAGACGTTACATCGGAGGGTATAAACACTAATAAAGCTCAACTATAAAAACAGATTGGCATATTTTGTTGATACGTCCTTCTGGCATGATGGCCTAGTTATGTTTTTTATATCTCTTATAGAAGAAAATTAAATTAATGCTCGTTCAAAGTCTGAATTGCCTTCTAACTTTGCTGATGGTAATAATATCAGGGTTATTATGAGTTCAGGGGAAAAGGTGTGTGTATATTTATAGTTTTGGTGAGAAAGATTTTTAGAAAGTGGTCACTCAAATGTGTAACAAGGGAATGCGAGAATTGTACCGAGAATTTATTGATAAGAGGTGGGTGGAACTAGCTAACGTCCTTTCCAGTGCTAACCTTTCATATTAACGGCAGTAAACATGAGAGTTAAAGTAAGAGCTCGGCGGGGGTTGGGGGTTGAAGGGGGTTCGTTGGAATTCGAAATATTGAGACACAGTATTGGGATTAAACGCTTATTTACAGAAGAGTATATACTTATTTTTGTGAGTTTTTGAAAACTAGCATACGTACATTATTTTATGTCTCTCTTCAAATACTCTCTGAATTGAACATACCTGAAAGGTATTTTTCTTTAATTTAAAACGTCTTTGATAATATTTACGGAATCTGAAAGCCATATAATAGGAATATGAGATATAGGAATCTGAAATACATTTCACTTTGTTTGCCAGGACTCCGGTTGAAATATGTAACAATTATTAACACATCTACAGAAGTACAAGACCTAAGAATGTGGTATAAATTGCGTTTATGGTAGACGTTTCCAATTTATTACATTTTACAACAGGAAGATTCCTTCAGTGGTGTGTGGCAGTGGAACTGAGGGGAAAGATGTGTGGGAGAGAATGACGGAACATCGGAGAATTTTGCTGTTTGCTGAAGATTAAACCGAGAACACAAATCAGATGGAGCTGTCTGCCTCACACATTACGTCTCTTGTCGTATTTCGGCCATTAGAACACAGAACAGCGGATGCTTAAAATTATATAAAATATTAGTTAAATAAGAGACACAATAAGATACTGAAGCAGATAAAATTCGGGTAATGCACCCTAATTTCACTCACTTCAGAATATTTGGTCTTACCATAAGCTACCTAAAAACATAAAGACTGAAGTGAATAAAACAATAATATTATCTGTTTTTTTGTATGTATGTTCGTAAAACTTGGTTCGTTACATTAAACCTGACGCCTAAACAGTACTTAATATTTCAGTCAGTACCGCAAAGAAAACATTTCACTTCACCATTACAATGATAAATTTGTTGAAGCTGTTTAAGAAAGTAATCGCTGTTTACAATGAGAGACACACAGAAACTATAAATAAAAGTGCAGATTTACTGATTATTAAAACTGATGCGACATAAATTTACCACGAGGCTTTAAAGGGTTAATGAAAGAACTGAAATCGAGGGCGTTTTTAAAAGAGAGAGCGCTAAAGAGATTCTTAAACATAAAACAATGAAGCGAGAAGACGCAGGATAAAGTAACACAACAAGGATCTTTATACTTCGTGCTCTGTATCCATCATCATCAGGTTTCAGTTGATGCTATGAGCGGAAGTGAAGAGATGAAAAATCCATAAACTTTTTGAGTTGGTAAACCTGAAGGACTCTTGTGAACGGGGTAATGAACCTTGACAAAAAATAACTATTCACTTCTCAGTACCTCTGTTCCATATAGTTAGCAAGTAGTTAGTTGTATAAAATCAAGTATAAAATAGTACATGTAACATGCATACCGAAAACAAAACAAAAACAAAAATTAAAATTGTAGTTGGGAAACCCCACGGAACAAATCACTAATTTCAATACCGATTAACGTTAATTCAACCAGGTAAAATATTTTTCTTAGCCTTGCAACGATCCATTCAGTTTTAAGCAGGAATTAACAGTCGTGGAATCGACATATTAAGGCCAGATGTGATCCAACGTGACTGTACACGTGTGTGTGTCTTCTTGTGTGATAAATAAGTGTCTAGAACAGACGCGGTAGTGCTGAAGGGCAGTCAGCTGATTGGGCAATTTAGTTCGCAAGTAACATGTTACAGACAGATGTCAAGGCGAGTTTCACTAATTCGTCCATAAATACAGACCAGACCTCTGGCCTGACCCCAGGCATCGGTCACAAGACCTGTAAAAGAAAATGATCACATTTAAACTAATTTCTCTAACCGTTATCATAACTACAGTATCACCACGGAGCAGAGTGTTTCTTGAGAAACTTGAACTTTTCACTACCGTCCTTAAAAGAGCCCGCCACTGGTCAAAATCTTCATACCCTCGTTGAGATCCATTTTATTATTATATCTTCTACGCTTAGGTATTTAAAGTGGATTATTTCTTAAGGTTCCTTCATCAGAATATAATATGAATGTCTCATGTGTTATATAGTATCTGATTTGATCACAAAATAAATACATAGTGAAAAATACATAGTGTCATTACATGCAGCTTCATAGACTCAGAACAGAAGAGCCCAGAGCAACATACAAACTGACATCCATCCTAAACAATAGGTAAAACTACTACTGAATATTTCATTTGTTGTGTTTATAGATAGCAGACCGGAAGAATAAATATTCTGAAACAAATGGTAGCAAGAATTCCAGTCATAATAGTCTCTTTTAACTCTACAGAATACAATTTTTATTTTCTTCTTTCATTATCTGTTGCATCGTACGATATATAAAATACAGATAAAATCAAATTATAAATAGGTGCAGTGAACGGGTTCAGAACTGGGTAACAAGCCAGTCACATGTTTTGATTGCCTTTGTATTTTAAATGGTCTACCTGCACATGACGAAATAGGTTTTAAGACTGGAGTAATGATGTGATTATTTAAACCGTAAAGAACGCCTTGTAAGAAAGTATAGACTATCCCTTCTAACAGCATTGTTGGAGAAGTTGCCGCACCATCAAGGCGACATTATCAAACCCAATTTCTTTCTATTGAAAAGAAACGCTCTGAAGAATCCTTGTCGGATTACAGGCCATATCCTAAGTTCTTCGTGGTTTTGTTAAATTTTTCGAAGCCAATGTTGAGATACTTTGTGATCGACTATAAACGAGCAAGTTCGATATGACGAGAAATACGTAAAAAAAATGGCGAGGAATCTTCATGGAAAGTGGTCATTTGGAAGACGGAGAAAAAGACGAGTGGATAAGATGAATATGGAGCTTGGTGAAATAGGTCTGAGATGAATGGAAACTGTTTAGGTTCGTACCCAATCGCAGGATTTAATATTAACAGTTGGTTCTACTGATGGAGTTTAGTTAGTTACTTTATGGTCCTTTCGAAGTTAAAGTTGATTGGTTCAAAATTGTTAAGGGAATATACATATGGAATGAACATTGGCGTAGGGACTTGTACGGGCATGATGGTGTCATAAATTTACCTACGTTAGACACGAAAATAAATAAAAAAAAATACGTAAAGATTTATCCTTTTACTGGAAAAAAAGTATAAAAAACTTTAATAATGAAATCATTTTTAGGACAAAATTTCTGAGGATTTTCTTCATTTCTTACTGAAACAAATCACTGGTCGTCTTTATCTGCAGTAACAGAGAAAATTTATATCTTCAGATAAGTTTTGACGGCTTATTTTACTCATCCTTTGTGTTAAATAAACCACGTATAAGTACACAAGTAAATCATTGAGCATTTAGGAATTGTGATGCAAATCTCAGGCATTGTGCTCATAAATGAAGAAGAATTATACAATGTCTCTTTTACTCCTTTAACATTTCAAAGCGAAGCTTCTGAGGCTGAGAAGTAGCAATGTAAGGGGAGTAAGGTTTTAGTAACTTAGCTTAATTCAAGCTGTCTGGATGTGTTTGAGTGCTAACAAGACACCTGTTTACAGCGTGTTGCTTTCTTGTGTATCATCTACTTAACGTTCCATCTCCTTCCAGTATGCAGCTACTCCGAACGCCTCGCGCTGCTGACTTGGTTCTAGCCAATAGTCTCACATCAGAAGCTACAGGACAGCGAGCGATACGGGGAACTATTAATGTGATAATGCTTTTGCTTCCCTTGCTAAATTTCTCGCTTCGCCGACCACTCAAGCTATCTGCTTTATACACTCGTGAATACCAACAACTACGCAAACAGGCATATGTAAAGCACAAGACAATTCCACCATTTTTCACCCCAGGCTTCCAACAGCTTCCAGTGAGTTAGAGTTGCTATTTATTTCCGTGTATCCATAATACTACTCCCCCTTACACCACTTCCAATAAAATATTACTGATTTTATTTTCAAATTTAAATCTAATTTTACATTTATAAAATTGGGTACTGTGTATGAATATCACTATCTTGTGGGGTGTTGCTCCGTGCAGTCTGGTAGATGTTTAACAAAGTTTTAGAGGTGCAATCGTCCTGATGATGGAGGCAGTACGGACCTCTGTAACACCTGTAAACATCTACCAGACTGTACAATGCAACATTGGAGAAGAGTTAGTTATTAATTAAGAAATGAGATTAAAAGTTATCGTTATGAAGGAAGGGCTTTATTAAGAATATAATAGACTCGCAGATAGAGATGAATTTCCCTTTCTTTTATGAAAACCGAAACTTGTCAAAAAGGACCAACAAAACATGATTGCAAAGAGAAATTATTTAGCCATCTTAAAAGAATATACAATGACAGACTTTTTTCCTGTATAACTTCGGATTTAGGGTGAGACTTAACAAAACTTTGTGTTCAATGAGTACAGATTGATGATGTATGTACAGGACAGGCAATAACAACAAATCCAGATGTGACTTTAGCCTAATTAAGATAGTAGTCTGTGATATTCTGTGTTGTAATGCCACACAGTTTTGTATTTTCAGAGGAACTTTGTAACCAGCTACAA